GCTGCCTTCCTCCCCATCACCTGCATCTGGCGTCCACACCCATTGGTTTCTATCTCGTCGCGGCTGCTTTCACGGCAGGGGCAGAGTCGAGTAGTTGTGAGAGAGACCATAGGGCTTGCAAAGCCTCACATATTTACTATCTGAGCCTTTGCAGGAAACGTTCACCAACCCCTGCACTAGACAGACAATCTTCTTCATATCCTTCTGGCCTGACACTTAGCACATGCAGCCTCGGTTATCTGTGTATGGGGAAAACCAGCAGGAGCTTCTTGAGGGCAGGGGCCTGCCTGGATGGTCCCTGTGGCCCCCAAGCCCAGCACAAGGCCTGGCTCTCTCCTTGGCAGGTGTTACTGGATATATCAGCTGCTGAGTGGGGGTTTCTGGGCAGCAAGGCTTGGGTGATGAGGGAGGGAAGGTCTTGTGCCAGGCCGGACTGACTGACTCCTTAGACGTCGGCCCCTTTGCTCATAGGGTCCCACTTCCCGGGGCTGAGGCTCCCAGCAGAGGTCATGGAGATGCCCAGCGTGAGGCAAGGAGGAAGATGACATGTCAGAGGGGAAACCCGGAGACACCAGGCCTGGTGGCTCATACCTGCAATCCCAGCACTTTGGGAGGCTGAGGCGAGTGGATGCCTTGAGGCCAGGAGTTTAAAACCAGCCTGGTCAACATGGTGAAACCCCATATCTACTAAAAATATAAAAAACTAGCCAAGCATGGTGGCACACCCCTGTGATCCCAGCTGCTTGGGAGGCTGAGGCAGGAGAATTGACTGAACCCAGGAGGTGGAAGTTGCAGTGAGCCGAGATCGCGCCACTGCACTCCAGCCTAAGAGCGAGACTCTGTCTCAACAGCAGCGAAAAGAAACCAGGAGAACTGGGACCCTAGGACGGATGGAGGGATTGGTTCAAGGTCAAGGCTGTGAAAAGAAGGAGGATGCTGGAAACCCTTTATGCAATGGGACTGGCCTCTGTTGACCTAAAGGTGCTGGATGTGCCCAGGGAGGTGGCGTTCCAGGGTGAGGATGAGGCTATTTCCTGGTCCACTCTCCCATCCAATGTTTGAGTCCAGTTATGACTTCATCACTGGTGAGACTCCAGTCCTGAGAAGCTCTGGTGATAGAGACTCACCACGTGCACCATTATTTGGAAGAGTCAGCAAAGATGAGAAAACGCCTAAATCTCTATCAATGGGGGTATTGAATATTAATTATTCTTTTATAATACAGCCGTAAGAAAGAAATGTGAGATCCAGGTGTGCTCAAATGAAAAATTTCTGGATAGGTTAAAAAAAAATCAGGTTCAAAACAGAATGTTTAAGTCTATTTGTGTAGAAAAAGTATTAATTCTGAAAAGATAAATACCAAACTGCTAACATTGTTGATCTCATTACATGGAGATGCGATTATAGGGGACTTTGGCTGTCTCTATGGTGCTGAGATTTGTTTGTTTGTCTTTGGAACAAGCTTGTGTTATCAGGAAGATAACCAAGATGTTTCTATTAAAAGATTTTTTTGGGGCCAGGCACAGTGGCTCATGCCTGTAATCCCAGCACTATGGGAGGCCAAGGCAGGTGGATCACCTGAGGCCAGGAGTTCAAGACCAGCCTGGGCAACATGATGAAACCCTGTCTCTACTAAAAATACAAAATTAGCCAGGCATGGTGACACATGCCTGTAATCCCAGCTACTTGGGAGGCTGAGGCAGGAGAATCACTTGAACCCAGGAGGTGGAGGTTGTGGTGAGCTCAGATCACACTCCTGCACTCCAGCCTGGGCAACAAGAGCGAGACTCCATCTCAAAAAAAATTTTTTAAGACTTTAAAAAAGACATTATCCTTTTACTGAACTGGAATGTGCCTTTCTACAGCATCAGCATGTATTCCTTTGGTTTGGTGTCTAGGACCACCCAGGCCACAGGAGATGTTTATAAGCAGAAAATGCTCGGAGTGTGTTCCCTGGGAAGTACAAGCCTATCTTGGTACAGGCAGTGCAGACAGTCCTTGTGTAGCGTTATTCAATATCTGATCTTTTTTTCTTCTTGACACAGGGTCTTGCTCTCTTACCGAGGCTGAAGGACAGTGATAAGGTCATGGCTCACTATGGCTTCTGTCTCCTGGGCTCAGGTGATTCTCCCACCTCAGCTTCCCAGGTAGCTGGGACCACAGGCACAGACCACCACCCCCGGCTAGCATTTGTAAAGATGGGGTTTCACCATGCTGCTCAAGCTGGTCTTGAACTCTTGGGCTCAAGCAATCCGCCTGCCTCAGCCTCCCAAAGTGCTGGGATTACAGGCGTGAGTCACCACACCCAGCCTTACCTGCTATTTTCTACCTCAGGTGCAAGCTTGTCTTCCCTACTAGGCTGGAAGATCTCTGAGGGCAGAGATTGTGAAATAGGCATTTCTGTTCTCCACACAGCATCTGCTGCCAACAGAGAAGGTTCTCAGGAAGTTCCTGGTGAATGAGCGAATGAATGAATGAGTGAATGGTGATTATCAATATATAAGTATCTCTCTCCCTCCTACTAAGGACACTTTGGCATTGCTAGCTTGTCATTCTTACCTTCCCCATGTCTTTTCCTCCAGCTTGGGCTTCCTGGATGTGCAAGTAGGAATAAGAGGTGATGGGAAGGGTCAGGGAAGAGAGATAGGGCACTCGCTTTGGAAAGGATTGAGCCTTCCTTGCATGAGAGAAAAGGAGATAGCAGTGGAAAGACAGAGAGGGTGGGGAAAAGGGAAGATGCCACACCAAGGGCAATGGAGAGAGTTTAGGGGAAGTGTTGAAAGTGAGACACAGGCAGAGTGAGAGAGATTTTAGGACAGCTGCAAGGCAAGTGAGAGAAAAGAGAGGGATGGAGGAAAGATGTCAAGCTGTGTGGGTTGGAGAACCCACTGTATGCTTCAGGAGAAATGATAACGATTCAGTATTTTTTTTCTCAGACAGGGTTGGTCTCTGTTGTCTGGGCTGGAGTATAGTGGTGTGATCAAGGCTCACTGCAGCCTCAATCTCCTGGGCTCAAATGATCCTCCCACCTCAGCCTCCTGAGTAGCTGGGACCAGAGGCACACACCACCACACCACCGCACCACATGCACTGGCTTATATATTTTTTTCTAGACATGGGGGTCTTGCTGTGTTGCCCAGTCTGGAGCACAGCAGTGCAATCATGGCTCAGTGCAGCCTTGACCTCCTGAGCTCAAGCACTCCTCCTACCTCAGCCCCCTGAGTAACTGAGTAACTAGAAGCACACATCACCACTCCGGCATGCACTGGCTTTTTTTTTTTTTTTTTTTTTTAAGATGTTTTCTAGAGATGAGGGTCTTGCTGTGTTGCCTGGGTTGGCCTTGAACTCCTGGTCTCAAGTGATCCTCCTGCCTCAGCCTCTCAAAATGCTAGGAAAACAGGCATGAGCCACTGAGCCCAGCCTGGGGTTGTTCTCACTTGAGAGGACTAGATTGTGTTTCTATAATGTGATGCCCATTTGGAGTGAACCATGTGGAGCTCTGGAATTTACTCGGGTTACAAATGTATATGTGCAATGAAGGAACATGGCCTCACCCATTCTCGGGCCCAGTCATCAGTGGGACGTGGGTGAGGGTCTAGGTTTGGAAGTGTGTCAGAGGCCATGCACCTGCCTCCACTGTCCAGGTCCTCATCAGCCTCTGCTCCATGCTTCCCCTCTGCTGCCACCCCACAGAGGCTGCTCCCTCTGGGACCACTGTAACCCTGAGATGATGGAGGAGAGAGAAACCACACTAACCACACTGAGAAGCTCTTGCAATTGTTAGTGGGAAAGAACACTGTGCTAGAAGTTGGAAGACCGGGGATTTGATAGTATGCAGAATTATCTTTAGGAAGTGTTTTGACATAGTTAGTAAATGCCTCGGCTGGGTGCGGTGGCTCACTCCTATAATCCCAGCACCTTGTGAGGCCGAGGTAGGCGAATCATGAGGTCAAGAGATCAAGACCATCCTGGCCAACATCGTGAAACCCCGTTTCTACTTAAAAAAAAAAAATTATCTGGTCGTGGTGGCGCATGCATGTAGTCCCAACTGCTTGGGAGGCTGAGGCAGGAGAATTGCTTGAACCAGGGAGCCGGAGGTTGCGGTGTGCCAGGATCACACCTCTGCACTCCAGCCTGGCAACAGAATGAGACTCCATCTCAAAAAAAAAAAAAAGAAAGAAAAGAAAAGAAAAGAAATGTGGCTATAATCCCAGCGTTTTGGGAGGCAGCAGCAGGATCCCTTGAAGCCAGGAGTTTGAGATCAGCCTGGATAACACAGCAAGATCCCATCTCTATAGAAAAATGGAAAAATGTAAAAATAAGTACACTCTTGTAGTCACAGCTACTTGGAAAGCTGAGGCGGGGGGATTGCCTAAGCCCAGGAAGTTGGAGGCTGCAGTGAGCTCTAATTTCGCTACTGCACCCCAACCTGGGTGACAGAGTGAGACTTTGTCTGTGGGGGGGGAAAAGTGCTGCTTAGTGAATAAAAGCCTGCTGCCCCCCAATCAGAAAATAAAGTGAGTCAAAAAGAAGCCTGCAGAGTTAACCCCCTATATTCATTACAGAAGAATAGTTAACCTTTTGGTGTATATTCTGCCAAAATAATTTCTGTGCATATCAATGCATAATGCTGAAAACAAATGAAACTGTGCGTAGCTTTTGCAATATACAATTTGCATATAATCGATGTCCCTCTTTTTGACAGAATGATAGGTTTGCATCCCACCTGCCTCTAATTGATTAGCTGCATGGCGCTGGGTTGGTCACATCACCTCCAAAAGCCTCAGTTTCTTCATCAATAGAATGGGAATAATGATGCCCATCTCAAAACCATGAGGTTGTGGTCAAAATCCCACAGGGCAGTGGGTAGAAAGTTACTTTGCAAAAGGTTCTCCAGAGGAGGGAAGACTGCACTTTTTCAGGTCTGTGGGTCTCTGCCCACTCATCCTTCTCTTTCCTACCCAGGTTTTTTGTTTTGGTTTTTTTTTTTTTCTTTCCAGGATAGAGAAGAGGGACGGAAGCGATGAGGAGGACTTTCGCTTAGACTGCCGCCACGAGAGATATCCTGCCCGTAAGTAGACTGTTTGTGGGTACCTGCTATGAGAGATTCGTGGGCTGCCAGGGGAGAAGAACCCCTGGAGATGAGTCAGGCTAGCCCCCTCCCCCCACTGCACCCTGCATTCTCCCACAAACACATCACAGATGAGGAAACTGAGTCTGGTGTCTCTGGGTAGCAAGCCCTGCACGCAGCTCTCCCCACAGCCTTCCCAGTTGGGGTGGGATGCTAAGAAAGGAAGGAAGAGACTGCGGTGCCAGGCAGGCAGGGAAACCCCAGCTCAAGGTCAGTCCCAGGTTAGCCACTGGCCTGGGGGAGGACAGTCCTCGCTAGAAGGAGCTGAGGCAGGGAGGGCGACCGTGGACAGGAGTCGTTTGAGCTGTGGACACTCTTGGCAGCTTAGATGCATTCACTTCAAACACTTCGCTGCGGGCCACACCATGAGGCAGAATCTGGGGTACTGCTCAGAAAACAAATGTGAGGATCAGAAAGCAATGCAGAGAAGAACCAAGGTAAGATTAAAGTTAAAATGGTCAGATCTCGGCTGAGCCTGTTGAATGCCCACAACATGTTCCCCACCCCACCCCACTCTGTACTAAGGGCTTTTCATGCCTGATCTCATATCCTTGCTTACCCCCAGCCCCTACAGCTGGGATTGTTGCCTAGATTTTACAGATGGGGAAATTAAGGCTCAGAGAGGTGGAGTAACTAGCCCAAGGTCACACAGCTTAGCTAGTCACTGGCAGAGGAGTCACAGTAGATATCGTCAGTGCCCTGGCCACCTCTCTCAGACCTTTAGGAAGCTCCAGGGGCTTCTATCTGTATCTGCATCTCTGTGCCTGGAGGCAGGCTGGAAGTGCCAGGGAAGTTGGTGTATACATACCCCAGCTCCCTCACCCTGGCGTGGGATCCCCCAGAGGCATGTGCTCTGCAGTTTCTCTGCAGAGTAAGGAGTCAATGATCATGAGGTTTAGTAGCTCTCCCCTCCCATCCTTGTCCCACTTTTCCTCTCTGACCAATTTCCCTGTACCCTCTAAATATATCACTGGCACTCAAACTCTTATCTGTGAGTCTGCTGCTGGGGAATCCAAACTAAGAAGGCAGAGATTTAAACACAGGTTTGTCTGATTCCAAATCCTGTGATTCTAGTAACTGAATGAGAAATGGCTCTGCTAGTGGCGAGGAGACAGAGGAGAGGGAAGAGAGCCCAATTTTGGCCTGTGAGAAACAGGGGATGGCGCTGAAGTGGACACACATCATGGTTTCAAGTCTGTGCTAGCATGGAGGGCTTCCTGGAAGAGGGGATCAGAAACCAGGGGGTGGATGTGTTTGGAGAACTCCTGCTGCAGGGATAAAAGAGTGAAGAACTCATCAGAGAGGGCCTCAGAAAGCACACAGCAAGGATAGAGGCTGAGAATCCTGGAGCATTCCAGAATGTCCTCAACTCCCATATTTGGGAGTGAGCCTCCCCAGGCTCCCTGCAGAATGGGCAGGAGACCCCGGATGGTAAGAGGCCTTGGGGTTTCTCTTAAGGGCCTCTGGAGGCCTAGGTGGAGGTTCCTGCCACTGGAAGAGTCAAGGCACTGTGGACCTAGAAGCAAGCCCTGGAATTAAGAAGGAGAGTTCTCAGGGTCAGAGGAAATGGCAAAAGCCCTCCACCCAGCCCCCAATCCCAGCACCCACAGCCCTCCACCCACCCCAATCCCAGCCCCTGCAGCCCTCCCCCCCCCCCTACCCCTCCCCCCAAACCCTCCCCCACCCCAATCCCAGCCCCCGCAGCCCTCCCCCACCCCAATCCAAATCCCCCTAGCCCTCCTCCCACCCCAATCCCAATCCCCACAGCCCTCCCTCCCGCGTCCAATTCTAGTACCAGCACCTCTCTCTCTACCCCTAATCCCAGTCTCCAAAGCCCTCCCCAATCCTCAATCCCAGTTCCCACATCCCTCCCCCGACCTTCAGTCTCAGCTCCCACAGCCACCCTCCTGTCCTGGTGCCTAGTGCCCCCTCAAGCAGCATGACCTTGTGAAAGAATCATCAGACTCATTCGATAAGTCTGGACAGTTTCATCTTTCATTCCTTGGTGAATGTTTATTGAGCATCTGCTGCATATCAGCCCTGTGGGTGCTGGAGAGACAGCAGGGAGTCAGGCAAGACCACAGCCTCTGGTCTGAGAGAGAAAATCGTTCAGTAAGGGAGCTCAAAAACAAACAAGGGAGGAGCATGTGGTGATGGGGAGGAAACAGGGCAGGGGCACTCCTTCAGAGTCAACATGTTGAGAAGCCAGGGACTGGGCCCTAAAGGGTGAGGAGTCAGTCAGCTGAAGAGCTTTGCAGGCAGAAGAACCTGTGTGTCCCGGAGCTAGAAGGGGCCAGACAGTGCTTGTGGAAGAGCCAGAAGACCAGGGAGGCTGAGGCAGGAAGGGCAGTGGGAGGCCTGGAGGGCTGCAGGGGCTGAGGGTGGCAGGAAGCAGGACGAGGACGGAGTTTACTATGCAGCGAAGAAGCTGATTCTGCAGCAGGGAGCCCGGGGTGTTTTAGGCAGGGAGAAGATATGTCCCCCTTATTTCTCTCTCTCTCTGTCCCTCCCTATTTCTTCCTTGTCTGTCTATCTATCTATCCAATCTATTCATCCATCTATCAGCCATCTATTATTCATCTATCAATCATCTCTCTATCTATCTGTCATCTATCATCTATAAATCCTTTCATCTATCTAATCTATCCATCATCTATCAATCATTTATCAATCCTATCATCTATCTAGTCTGTAAATCCTATCGATCCTATCCACCATCTATCCATTCTGTCTACCTATCATCTGTCATTTATCTATCAAACATCTATCTATCATCTATCTGTTCTGTCTATCCATCATCTACTCTATATCCGTATCTATCCGTCTATCACCTATCTATCACCTACTTATGTCTTTATCATCTCTCTCTGTCATCTCTGTCTCTCTCAACCGCCTCTTTCTCTATTTCTCTGTATGTGTGGGAAAAGGATCAGAGAGGAGCCAAACTCAAGGCTGGGAGACCATCTTGAAACCTACAATATGCACAGAGTGTTTGCTGCTGCAGTCATTCTTGGGAGACAGGATGGCGGCGGCCTGACTGTGGTGTTGGAGATGAAAGTGGATAGAGCAAGGACTCTCTTCTGGTAGAATCTCCACAGTGTCTTGCTTTGGGTTTCCCTGGAAGTCCTTTGAGACGTGGGTACAACAGCAAGTGCTTTATTTTGGTGATCGAAGAAAACCCAACTAGGAGTGAGGAAGAGAGACTGAGAAGGGAGAAAAGGCAACCAGTCAAAGGCACAGTGTCGAGCCCATTGGGGACTGGGGACATCAGTGCAGAGCATACGCATCAGAGTCTTCCTCCCAGATAGGAAGGCGACTCTCCTGGGCCATTGTTCAAGGGCTGCTGAGGGGAGGCTTGGGCGAATGAGCTCCCTGACAGTCATGGCTTGGGGGGTGGGCAGAGGGGCTTGGAGCTGGATGAAGAAGGCCTTCCTTGCACAGCTGGAAGTCAGCAGCGTGCACCTCCAGCTGGGGCATAGCGTCAGATAAGTGGCTGATCCAAGTAAGGACTGGGGGAAGGGAGAGACCTAGAATATGTGCAGAATTTTTGCCCTAGCAGACAGGGGCACGGGGTCCCTGACTCATGGAAGGACATGGGGTGGGGTCGGTTTGCGAAGGGCAATGTTGCTTTGTCTCTGTGGAGTCTGAAGGGCTGATGAGGGCCTCTAGGAGGCAGCCAGATCAATGGGGGGAGTTTAAAAGGGTGGCAGAGAGACAGGCAGATGCAGTGGTGCATGTCTTAATCCCAGCTCTTTGGTGGGGAGGCAGGGACAAGGTGGGAGGATCACTTGAGGCCAGGAGTTTGAGACCAGCCTGGGCAACATAACAAGACCCCATCTCAAAAAAAGAGTTAAAATTACTGCACTTGGTGGTGCAAGCCTGTATTCTCAGCTACTCTAGAGGCTGAAGTGGGAGGACTGCTTGAGCCCAGGAGTCTGAGGCCGTAGTGAGCTACGATTGCACCACTGCACTCCAGCCTGGGTGACAGAGCGAGACTGTCTCTTAAAAACAGACAAAAGGCAACAGTACAGTATGAAATGTTTGCAGCGCAGGGACTGCACAGATCGTCTGGGGAGAATGCGTAGGGTGGGGAGAGACAGTGGTGCGAAAAGGTCCTAACCCCCTAGGGGTCCCGGGGAGCCACAGAGGCCGGTGGGGAAGGAGCTATCAGCTGTCAGTTAAAGCTGTCAGCTGTCCCCAGAGACTTTCCAAATCCTGGCTTCTCAGGGAAGAAAGCCTGAGATCCCACAACCCCTGCACCAGGTGTGCCTCTTATCAGGCAGCTGAGCATGGGCAGGGATTACCGTCTTTCCCCGGGGGTGCTGGGGACTCCCATGTCAAACAGCGTGAAAGGAAGAGACCCCCTCTGTGGTTAGAGCTGAGGGAAGGGTCGGGGGAATGTGGGCTGGATGCTGACATGCATGAGAGATCCCGTGACTTCAGAGATCCTGAAGCAGGCTGCTTTATTTATTCCACAAATCGTGACTAAAGAAGACTTGCTGGCTCTTGGGAGCCTGGAGACGAATAGGGCATATTAGGTAGACCCTAGTGATTTCCGAGTCTTGCTGGGGGGACAGACCCAAGATGTTAGTGCACTGTGTGGCCAGAGCCTGAATGGGGTCAATACAGTGTCTGAGACAGCAGGACGTGGGGCCTCATCCCACTCAGGATGAGATGGGGTGCAAGAAAGGGGAGGTGGGAAGGGTCAGCCAGGTGATCCCCCTCGGCAGGACCTCCATGGTGGTAATAATGATGTCTGCATTTGCTTATGCAAACAGTCAGCAAGAAGAACTCAGTCCCCCCAGAACCTAATCACAATATGTCACCTTTGTGCATGTTCACAGGACTTTACGCTTATTCAGTCATTTAACCCTAACTACAGACCCACTATACAGACTGGGAAACTGAGGCCCGGGGAGGTTAAGACTGTGGCTTGCTCA